AGAAGCAATAGGATTCATGTGTCACCAGCAGCATCATTAAAAAGTAGACTTCCCTCTAAGGTCCTCCTTCTTAATGGTGATAATGGCAAATCCCTGTTTCTTCAAAAGGGTACAGGTGAAGGTAGGGTGTTGGTGTTGTTAAAAACTTATCTTTTATTGTTGGTAAATAGATCTATTTGAATAGGGTAGAAGAGAATAAGCATACTCAGGAGTCTGCAGTCTGAAATCTAAGTAGATGGGACATGAAGAACAATGGGCTGATTAGACTGTCAATGCTTAAGTGTTGAGTCCCATAGTCACCTTTAGTCCCCCCTCATCAGAAGTAGCCCTCAGGCCATGCCAATGCCAGTATTTCATTAAAGTATGACTCTAGCTGGGATGAAAAGAGCAGACTCCGCCACATACGAGGTTCCAGAGAAAAGCAATTTTTTAATTGTGAGTCCTATAAGTGCAAAAGACATCTTCCATCAGTATCATTTCAGCTGCTGTCCAATGTTTTGCTAATTTTTTTCTTGACTGCTTCTACCATTCTTTAATTATGCTACCTGACTGCATAGACTTAGCATTAACTTGGTATTAGTAAAATAATAGGCAATGCCATCATTCTCTGCAGATGTCTTACGGGTGCAATAGCAGAAACTAAAGTTCCAAATGCTGTCAGGGAGCAGCAGAATGGGCTTGGGACTGCCCCATACCATATTGCTTTGTGGGAAGGAAGCAGGACAGGATATATTGCAGTGAACTGATCTGGAGACAAGCTTTTTGTCGTTCAAGCTTTGGCTTAGACTAGGCCCTTGTTCAGATTTTGTGTGGTACAAGCACTCATCTGCAACTCATCCACCTTGTAAACCTGTTCCGAGGTTGATTATTAGTGTGCCAAACAACAATATTCTAGCTAAACTTGAAGCTATGCAAATGTAATAGCATTCCAAAAAGAAAAAAACTTCAAGTCAACATCAACTACTTTTTCACAGGAACACCATGTCAATTTAAAATTTCTGGTCATACTGTATGCTAGTATCAGTTGAATGACCCATTCAGTTCCTTTTCCTCCTTACTCCACCCAAAGATATACCTAAGTCAGTTAATTCATGTTTATTTTACAATAAAAACTGTGAGAATTTACATCAATAGGGTGTCTGACCATATTTGACTTCTCTGTATGAAGCTGAAACATATAAAATGAAATTATAAGCAAAAAAGAAAATTTCTTCACGTGTTAGATACACTAACAATTGGCTCAGTCTGAGATGACTAAGATGTCAAATGGGGGTGGGGGAAACTCCTAGTTTGAGGAAGTTGTTGAATTTGAGTTGTGTCATAAAACGCCCAAAATATTCAGTTTCAACTTCATAGATGTAGTGCCTTTCTTAAATAATGTAAGCATGGCAAACGTGCAAGAAATAAAACTTGTGCTAAGCAGTGAGTTAGAGCAAATATACATGCTAAACGTATTCTAGGTTTCTCTGAGGCTTGTCTAGTGCAAATCCTCTTCTGCAATTCCCTAGAGGTATTTACAAATAAAGGCTCATACAAGCAAGCTCATATATCCTCAAAGTTTTCAAGGCTAAGCATGTATGTTTAAGACTGGAGACTGACCCACACTGAAAGTAAAATGAGATGCTTACTTTGTTTTCCATTCTCTGTAGGTTGTTGTGTCTTTGTTAGAAGTGACAACTGTTCTCTGGTGATTTAATTGCTGAAAGCAAACCTAGCAACTGGAACCTTTAAAATAGCATTTGTCTACTGGTTATTTAACATTTTGTATGCAAGACAATTGCTAGCATTTATCATAGGCTAAGGATTAATAACTATATATTTTTAAAGGTATGTAAAAGTATTGTGTTACTGTTAACCTGAAATTTTATGCAGCAGTATTACCACTTGTGGGAGGCAAGAAAGGAGGAGAGGAGCAGAAACATGAAAAAAAGCTAAGGACAGTACAGTATGTGCATAAAACCGCAAAATGCACATTCCTGTTTGCTTACTGCTTACAAAAACTGACATCCATGTAGTATCTTGGTTTAAAAGGTACTTTGGCTTAAAAGCATTCAAATCTACATTTACTTAAGGAATCGGGGAAAAAAAGTGTTCCATGTGCAATATATATGCTTCTGTGTCATCCCTCTCACCATGGTATTTTGTACTGTGTGACACACATTTACAATAACTGAAAGCTTTTAGCAAGATGACAAAACCAAGGATCCTCTATGCAAATTCTCTGCAAACAGTAACTTTGGCATAAAATCTACTGACAATGGCCTTCGGTTTTTCTCCTTTCACTATGTAAGAACTTTAATTATTGTAATTAAAATAATGACTACCTCAGTTTCACAAATGAGATACAGGTTCATTTAGACAACACACTAATTGCATCCATCCCTTAGTCATTTTATAGTAAATATTAAGAGTTGAATGCCCCAGAAGAAAAACAGAAAAACCTCTGTGCTTTATCTAAACTCTTTGAGGTCCAGTATCTACGTTAAAGGTCCAGGCACACTTCATGTTAAGGATGCTTAAGGACCTATTAAGAATAAAACTCACTTTTGCAGAAATGAATACTGTACTCTTATTCTAATACCCTCACAATGAGCCTGATTTTTAGATAAAGCTGAGGATGATAAGCAACCTGCAGTAGGTGAACAGAACACAGCAAGATAAGACCAGTCTTGTTATGATAAACACATTCAAGTAATGCTTGCCAAAGATTATTTAACTTGCTTTTTAATCTTTCTTTTCTGTCCCTGGAGGCTTGGGATGGGGGAGGGGAGAATCTGCTCATGTCTCCATTTGTAAGCCTCTGTATCTCCGTAAGAAATGCTGCTTCACACCTTTATGCCTTGGAGGCCTATGTGCTCTTCTCTTCAGTGAAGATGCCCACAGCAGCTTTGTCCTGTCTCCCTTCTTACAAATTAAATACATGTCTTGTCACCCAGTTTGTTTATCCCTCCATGCTGAACTGAAATGGATACCTGTACTGCTCTATCACTGGCTGAGAAGCTCCTCTCCTTTCTCTCTTCATATTTAAAGGAATGAAATATTGTGTATTGTTTAATGCTCTATAGTTTAGACAATAGTTTGTGGTTTTTATGAAGAGTGATTGTAGAAACTCAATGGCTACATGCCAGCCAGTGGCTACCTATCACAGCAGCACTTCCTCCATTATCAAAAGAGATTAAGGCATTGCTCCAAGACTGACTGGAAGTAACAATTAAAGCTCAGACAGGCAACTCAGAAATACTTAGGTCCCTTTGTTTATTTTCACACCAGTGGCACTTATATCTATATCCTGGTGTTACAAAACCCCAAGTTGTTAGCAGTCTGACAAGACTAATAAAGATACAATGCAATTCAGCTCAACTTCTGCTAAATAAACTTTGAAAGAGTACATAAACATGTTGAAATGAAAGGCTATTTTGAATTGTTTCAAATTAGCAATCATTCAGGGGGAAAAAACCCAAGAATTTCTTATTCAAGCATATAGAAGAATTCATGAACTTTTTTATTCAAGAGCTCCTCTTCTCTTTTGTTCTGCAAATACTTTCAAAACTTAAAAGCAGCAACACTCCCAGTAGCAGCTACTGGTGTACTGTGCCAGAAAGATCTAGTTCATCATTAGTCTAAAACATGCTAACTAGACTTCCCTGCTCCTAGCCAATACCTAGTAACTATTCAAACCATTCAAGATCATCAAGCTTGTCCACACAAGCTAAACTTTTGTGCGGGCAGTAAGGCACTGAATATAGTAACTTACACAATTTGGTTCTAATTACACTTCTGAAAATAGAATGTAGAAACGAATATTAAAAACTTGCTGTAGATATGGGAAATCTGAAAAAATATCCCCCCAAGATTTTTTTGTTCACAGTTATAATAAAGGTCAACCTGTTTCATCAGCATATACTTAAACATCTGATTTCCTTTTACTGTTTTTCAGAGGAATTGACATATTTTAATGTCTGTTTTTAATGGAATCATCTAGGTTAAATTGTTTAACTGTGGGGCACTGAACTATAGAAAATCATAATATTTATAGATTTGATAAAGCTGAAACAGGAAACCTCTGAAGTTTAATAAAGCATTTTAATTAAAGATAAGGCAAAATAATTCACTTATCCTTACTAGTCTGTCATCTAAATACATGTTATGTTTTACCTCTTTTAGGTAGATCTCTCTTCATTGTGTAAGATAACTAATATTCAGCTGCATATAACTTCAGAGATGCAAAATCAAAACTTTAAACTGACCTTAGAGCAAAGAAATTAGGTATGTCTCTCCATAAGGAAGTAAGCACATTCAATTTGAAACTTTAAAAAAAAAAAAAGAAAACCTCACACCTCTGTTCCTCTAGAAAAGTTTGAGCTTCATTCCCAGATTCTTTTTTCTGGCACTTAACATAGAACAAGAAAAGATTGTGCATGGTTTAAATTAACATCTACACCATTCTTGTGACAAAACTGCTTAACAGGATTTTTGGTACAAGTAAAGCTCCTATTTCTTCCTTCTTGTCAACATCAAGATATGCCCAGCTAGTGCAAAAACAGAGCAATATGCAGGCACTTCTTGCAGTTGTTTTTAACATATGCAGTATCTAGCCTTGGCATACGTTCTAATGAAAACAAGAGAGATTAAAAGTAAGCACCCACTAAGGCAATGGAACAGGAGCCCTTAATGGAAAAAACCCTTCAACTATGTCAATGCTGACCCCAGTTTTAAGTTCATCTAGTGTGTCACTGCAGAATAAAACTAGCTTTGCCCCATGCATCTGAAATACCTTGTTTTACTTACAATTGTCTGTTCTCTGCAAAACCTCTTTCCCAGTTCTCTACCTAAATTGACTGCATTCAGCACCTTTTTCTAAACGTACAATGTGATTATGTAGCTGTAAATGCAATATAGAGTAAAAAAGTAAAAATACTGCTCTCTAATTCTGTTTGGGATAACTAACATAACATTTGCATAATGCCTATGACAGTCTGGTTAAACAGAGAACCTCATACCTGTTCTTGTGGCCACTTCTGTCTGTCCTCTGGGGTTCTTGACTTTGCTTTAAAACCTCTAGGCGCATCTCCACTGTGCTTAGAGGCAGATGGGATATTCAGTGACTTTGGCCTCCCCTCATGCCTGTTAGCACTGTGAACAGCTTCTCCCTTTGAACAAATCTCTTTATAGTCATGTGCCATGTTTTCAGTCCCAGTGTGCTCTGGACTCATTTCTGTTGTACTATTAATACTGCTCATGCTCATACTCATTTTGATTTCTGCTACAATCTGGTCAATGTCCTCTTCCTGCTCTTCCAGCTCTGCATCCTCTTTTCTAGAATGGTATGGTGATATTCCCTGTGAGTTTCCATTAGCCTCTGCTGGGTAATAGTCCTGATAGCCACCTTCACTTTGACAATACTGTATGTTTTCTTCTTGGTCTTGAATCTCCAAAGATGACACTTCATCCTCCAAAATCTGAACACTATTATCTTGACCTTCCTGCCACTCTTGCCTGTCTGTCACCTCATTTTCATCTTGGTGCTGAATTTTACCTTCAGCCCATTCTTCTACAGCTTCCTGACATTCATCTGTTTCAACATGGGGTTCCTCATGGGGAGCATACTCCTCCCCATTGCAGTCCATTCCTTCCAGGTAACTGTCATCCTCTGGACAGTATCTAATGTAGTATGTGATCCCCTCCTCTTCTTCTGGCAAGCCTTCATCATAGTCCTCCTCCTCAGAGGTGTTATTCACATAGTCAGAGCTGGAGTCACCATCTCCGCTATGATCATTGCACTCATGTTCCACAGGTGTAGGACTACCTTGTCTGACAGTTGCTAGTTCTGCCTCCTTTGCTGCATAATCTTCAATAGGAAGGTCACTTTCTTCATTTTCAGGCTCCCTGTTGTGAGATGAAGTAGGGCAAGCTCTCACTCTGTGATCCAGCATGCTGGCTGTAGTGCTTTGACGTTTCCTGTTTGCCATAGCCAACTCCTCATATGACAATCATTTCTAAGCAATTACTGTAGGGAAGATGGAAAAACACACATTCAGGAAAAGGTCATCAGTAGAGATCAGTGATGTTAACTGGAAACAAACTTATAGATTTATTTGGTAAAAAGGATGTGTCCGTAGATATTTAAACCAGATTCACAGACAGCTAAGTTTTAAAATGCTCCTGTTATGGAACCGTGAAATCAAAATAATAACTTGCACACTGAAAGGAACAGATAAAAAGAAGGTTCTACATTTATGCTAAATGTATTCTAGTGTAGGATCTCTTCTGTCAATTTGACAGAGAATTAATCCTGAACCTTGAAATCAGTTTTCAATTTCTTTTTCTTGCCAGTAAGGTGTCATGTTTTGATTGCTATGCAGTAAACAGGACCTCTTTTCAATTTTCAGCTTAGGCATTTCTTTAATGTGTACTGAAAGCATACATTTAGAATATGTCCTGCTCTTACTAAAACTAAAGGAAAATAATTCTATTAACTTGGCAGTTACTTAGGGCACTAAAGGATAATGCACTGCTATTAAAGAAGTAATTAAAAAAAAAAATCACTCACTGATTTACTAGCTGGATGCTATTAAGTATCTCCCATTGTTAAACCAAATATTGTTTTTAGAATAGAATAGGCTATTTCAGTTGGAAGGGACCTACAACGATCATCTACTCCAACTGCCTGACCAATTCAGGGCTGAGCAAGTTAAAGCATCTTAAGGGCATTGTCCAAATGCCTTTTAAACACTGACAGGCTTGGAGCATCGACCACCTCTCCAGAAACCCTGTCCCAGTGTTTGACCACCCGCTCAGTAAAGAAATGCTTCCTAATGTCCACTCTAAACCTCCCCTAGCACAGCTTTGAACCATTCCCATGCATCCTATCACTGGATACCAGGGAGAAGAGATCAGCACCTCCCTCTTCTCCTCCTCAGGAAGCTATGGAGAGCAATGAGGTTGCCCCTCAGCCTCCTTTTCTCCAAATTAGACAAGCCCAAAGTCCTTAGCTGTTCCTCATAGGACATTCCTTCCAGCCCTTTCACAAGCTTTGTTGCCCTCCTCTGGACACATACAAGGACCTTCACATCCCTCTTAAACTGTGGGGCCAAGAACTGCACACAGCACCCCAGGTGAGTCCGCACCAATGCTGAATACAGCAGGATAATCGCGTCTTTTGACCGTCTGGTTGTACTGTGTTTGATGCACCCCAGAATGCGGTTTGCCCTCTTGGCTGTCAGGACACACTGCTGACTCATATTGAGCCTGCTGCCAACCAGCACCCCCAGATCTCTTTCTGCAGGGCTGCTCTCCAGCCACTTTATACTTTATTTATACTTGTGCCTGGTATTACTCGGTTCCAGGTGCAGAATCTGGCATTTCAACTTGTTAAATTTCATCCCATTAATCATAGCCCAATGCTCCAATCTACCTAGAACCCTCTGCAAGATTGTTTTTCAAACAATCTAATCTATATGCCAGGAAAAAAAAAACACATTTACAGTAAAAGTTCATTAATTCTTCCCACTAAATACTTGCGCTATTTTAAATTACATATTTTTGTCTAAATACTAGATTTTAAATAAATAAGCACAGATTATATGAACTGTATCAGACATAGTTGAAATAAAGAAAACAGCTAATTCTAGACAGGCTTGACAACTGATCTGCTGTGTGTGATTTGGATGGGGGAAACAATGTACTTTCAGTATGCATGTTTCTCTGTATTTCACTGTTGTATGCTTATGATAAGCTTGACCTGTGCAGTTACTTAATTGGTGTGAACTGAGCTCAGACACAGGCTTCTGAAACGCACCACACAACTGCATGCTTCACTATATGCATGTAACAAAGGCAGGTCAGCTAACCACATGATCGTTTTGACATAACGAGTTTCCCAAGTCCTGTGTGAACACATAGAGCAATAGAGCTAGCACAGAGCTAGAGGATTAAAGGAGCTATATAGAGACGAATTTCCTAGGCATTATGAATTTATCAAAAATATCCTGTCATTGTAACCTAAAACCTCATAGATAATCCTGCAGAATTTCTGGTATCACAAGGAAAACCCTAAACTTTAGTTTGTGATAAATCCAGGAATCTGATGCATCTATGGATTAGTGCAATGGCACCACATGGCAAATCTAAGCTCTCCCTGAAACAGGGATTCTAGATACTGGGACACAAAGCAGAGATGCATGTTAGTAACAGGAGAAGACATGAAAGGAACCCAGTGTATCAAGCTCTCTTTAGTTATTGATACCTTGCAGAATTAGTCTTGACAGAAAGCTTTTAAGTAAATAGTGTATCTGAAGTGAAATTTTAAATGAGAAAATCAGAGGAGAGGGCAAAACTTTCCCAGTGATTACTTGCACCTTCTTACTATTAGAAGAACTAGCAGATTTACAAGCTTTCTTAATATGATCTCTGTGCCCACTATGATCCCTTCAATAAACTAACTATCAATTCTTACTTTGGAGCGAATTATAAGAAACTCGGAACACCAAGCCATCTGTCCACTAGTGTTACCTCTGATTTAGTTAGCTCTACTTACTGCAATCTAAGGATGTTTCTATACTGTGATTGCAGTATAAACAAAACTTATTTTACATTGGATTAAAATAGCAATCTAGTCACAACACTGCAATGCTCTGCACAGGCTGCAAAAAACTGCCCACAAGCAAGATAAATTGCTTGTATGACCAGATCAGGAATGGGTAAGCACACTATACAAACATGTCTAAAACAAGTTAAGACTGAGTGCTACAAAAAAGGTATTTTTGAATGGCAATGCAAGAAAGAACTACAGACACCTCATCTGTCTTAACTGAAAGTTATTTCTTGTCAAGAACAGAACAAATTAGTATCTCTTAGGCAAAGAACTGCAGTGGCCTCAGTCTACTAGTCATTGGAAATGTTCTCCATGTTAAGTAATACTTAGAGATTTACAGTGCAGTGGACCCTGCACACAAGCCACTACAGTGTAGCTGAAGATAAAGAAGAACAAAGCATGTAACACAAGCACAGTTTGAAACTCATGACTCAGATCTTCCTAAAGCATATGGAGATGAGAACCCTTTTTTTAGCCAGACAGTATAATGGAGTTTTCCCACCCACATCTAAGAATCTTTCTTTAGTATCCAGGCCTTGAAACTGCCCTAAGTGATATCACTGCAGTGATATCCTTTTATAAAAATTCCAGTAGTTGAATGTTCATAGATGTTACTTACCTGCAAGAAAATCTGCTGCATGCTAGATATTGTATAACAGTGCATGTCACAGGAAGCCATTCATATGTACTCAGAAAGCCAAAAGCCAGTGGCTAGACAGGGCATGAGACTAGGAAGAGAATGATGGCTGATGCATGGCAGCTACAACAGCTGTGGGGAAATGGCCAGGTTAGGGGCTCTGCGGGCTCTAAGAAAATGGTTACCAGCTGGCCAGCATTAATGACAGCAGCTGCTGTTCTCCCCCAACAGTGGCATGTGGAAGTGCAGCATATGCACTATGGGAGGGACTGTGAAGGAAGAACTTCAAATAAATAGTGGCAACTTTTATTTGGAAACTTTTTAGAGCATAGGTGATAAGAAATAGAGAAAAGAATTCCTCTCAAGCATGTCTAGCACTGACATACTAGAAGGGCATAGGAAACCAGTTTTCAGTTAATTCAGTCTGAGGCCATGACTGAAGACAGTGCTTTACCCCTGTATGCTGAAATTGAGGCACATGTTCCCAATGAAGGTAAAATAAGCCTGATTTTTCTAAGAGGCAAGGCTGATCTTAATGCTATGGAGACTGAAGTTGCAAAGCAATCTCTGCACAACAATTACAATCCTGGTTGGCCCCCTTACCTTTGCCATCTTCTCAGTCAGGCACTACTTTTTAGGAAACCAAGTAGTGATCACGTTAAAATAAAAAGGCAGAATTTATTGTTCTCAGCCTCTGAATTGCAGACTGAATATGTACTGATTATACCATCTTCAACTATGAAATGTAACTTCAACTGTAATGACACATCTGAATTACTAAACTGAGTTTTCAAATGCAAGTCTGAGAATTGCTCTTTGTGGAGCTGCATGAACATTTCTGTCAAGGAAACAAACAGCTGTATTTTAACTCAAATATTAGAACAGCCAAGGTAGGCTAGTCTTCTTCCACTGTTTCAAAATACCTCTCAGGCTTCCTAGAAAAATACTTTAGTCTTATAGTAGGTTTAGCATAACCTGAATCTTTTAAAACCTAAAATCATTCTAGGCTTTTTCAAAGTTCTCATGTCACACAGCAATGTGCTAGTTCCTGATGGCTACAGGTCCAAATTCTTCTGTCTTCTTACCTATAGAGATGTTAGTTTTTCAATGTGGATGACAATTAACTGAACCCAATGTATTCAGATTTTAAAAGAACAAAAACAGAACTTGGATTTTTTGAGAAATGCAATAGATAGCAAACTTTTACCACGCGTTCTGCTATTCGGTACGCTGTGCAGAAGCCTTCCGAGTCACCCACTGCAGGGATTAATACTTTTCCTGATTTTCTCAAGGAATCTATGGTGTTAAAGATTACATAGCTAATATTCACATACCAGTTACTAAGAAAGCTCTTGAAATTGGAGCAAATACTGGATTTCTATCTAACGCTATTCCAATGTCCTCTGAAGTGAAGACAGGAGTAATGGTTTGGTGGATCCAGAGGCCCTTTATGAATAAGGGCTTCAACGGAGTCAACAGGTCATTTCCTCTGCTTGGTGTAAGACTCCCTCCTCCTTCTGGTATCTCAGCTCCCTCGATAGTGGAGTGTTAGGTCAAACTTCTATATCACTCCAAGTGCATTTTTCAACTTCTGACTGTGGGGGAAAAGAAGTGTTCCTGAGAACATGGGAGGGTCAGTGCTGTATCCTTCTTTACTCTCCTCAGGATTCAGTAATTTTATGTTGCAGAGACAAGCAAATACTGATTTGTGTTGTACAGTGCACCACTAAAGCTCCATC